ATTGAAACGTCTGCGCTGTACTTGCGAATGGGCCGTGGGCTGTTTTTGCGATTGGGCTGTGGGCTGTTCTTGCGATTGGGCAATGGGCTGTTTTTGCGATTAGGCTCGCCCTCTCGTGCGCACTCTCATTTGCACCGCAATGCCGTGGCAATTTGTACAATAGGCAAATAACACACAGACAAACAGACAGACAAACTGAAAACAAAGACAATATTCCACCAATACAAAATAAATAAAGAGAGAACCCCCAGGATTAAGTTTCAAATACAAGCCGACAAAATCAATTTACCTGGAGAACTCTGAAAAACGGAAAATGCTCAACATATGGAGACGACCGGCAATATCTATCTACATATATATATATATATATACAGATGTATATATATAGTTTTGGCCAATCAACATGACCTCAAGCAAACAACAACTTATGCTAAGCGAAATAGGACAAATATCGCCCCAGGAGCGTCTGGGAGCAAAACCTATGATCTGCGAAAATTCCCAGGATACTTCCTCCCGGTAAGGCGTCTGGGCCGGGAGCGTTTGGGAACAAAAACTGCGCGTGGTTTGTTTAGGGGCGCTTGCGCCGGGAGCGTCCAGAAGTGGAGACTCGGCGCATGAATTGTTTGAATTTCCCAACTGTTCCCTCCCGGTGGGGCGTCTGGGCCCCGAGCGCCGGGAGCAGAGACTGCGCGCAGGGCGCTCGGGCTGGGAGCGTCCGGGAACAGAGATTGCCCGCATGATTTGTTAAAACTTCCCGGTTGTTCCCTCCAGGTGGGGCGCGTGGGCCAGGGGCGTCCAGGAGCAGAGACCTCGCGCACGACTTGCTGAAACTCCCAGTTGCTCCTCCTGCTCCGGGAGCAGGGAGTTCGGCTGCAGCGTGGACTTGAATTCACCGCTTGCTCGCTTCTGGTGGGGGCGCGGGCCAGAACCGCCCGGGAGCAAAGACTGTACACACGTGATTTGTCCATTCCCCGATTGCTCCTTTCCGTTGGCGTGCCGGTCCAAGAGCAAACGCTACGCGCACCATGTGCTCAAATTCCCCGGTTGCTCCCGGAACAGAGATTGCCCGTATGATTTGTTGAAATTCCCCGGTTGTTCCCTCCCTTTGGGACGTCTTGGCTGGGAGCGCCTTGAGCGTCTGGGCCAGGAGCGTCCAGGAGTAGAGAGCGCGTGCATGTTGTTTTGGCTCTGAGGGACCTCTGGGCACGGGGTGCTCACACAACGGCACCGAAGCCAGGCAAAACCATGGCGGTGCTGGAAAAACAAAAGCCGTCACACCTGCGCTGGCAGCCCGACAAGACCAGGGCCACGAGCTGGGAGCTCTGGAAGCAAAGACTGCGCGCACGATTGGCTTAAATTTTCCGGTTGTTCCCTCTTGGCGGGGCGTATGAGCCGGTAGCGTCTTAGACCGTGCCACAAGGGCGCCCAAAATCGTGCCACAGGGGGCCCAACACCCAGTCACAGGGGCGCCCAGAACCGTGCCCAAACGTGCATGGGAGGACCAGCGGGGACAGCACCTGGAGCATGGCCTCGACTCTCTCGCCTGCCCAGGGGGTGCCTGGCAACTCCCGCTGCACCGTGCGATACTGCGTGCGGGCGCCCATGTGCAGCGAAAGGCCACGACGCACCATCTGACGCACCTCCCACCAAAACCTCCTGAGAACAGCGCGTCGACCACCCGTGAGAAAGGCGGCGTTCGCTTGCTGCCAGAACGGCGCCGCCGCTCTCGGCGCGCTCGGGGGTAGATGCCAGCTGGGCTGAAAAAGAGCGGTCGAACCAGTCGGACCAGCGAACGCGTCGCATGACGTCGTCGCAATCGGTGCGCCATCGCCACAGTTCGCCAGCTCGCACTGCCGCGGGGAGGCCTCCCTGGTAGCGCGACAACAGGTCGGCCACCCTGCGCTGCCCGCAGCTGAGGAAGTTTTTTCGGGAACCCCAACTGGCGAAAACTGGCCGCGCGGCTGGCCCAAGGATGAGTCGACGGACAGCTTCAATCTCCATCTCTTCCCAATTCTCGGACGGACTGTCTAATTGAGTGACGTGCGCAAGCACGGGGAGGACGTGGACGGCAAGCGCGGTCAACGTGCACTGCAAGCCGGCGCTCACATCGCCCCTCGCCCTGCTGCGCTCCCGGAACTTCCTCGGCGATGCCTCGTAAGCTCGGCGACCCCTGTCCAGCCCGAGGTAGAAACACAAGTGCTTGGCTGCGGGACAGGAAAATGACCATGGCCACTGCTTCTTGTTTGCGCCGCCTTCCAGCCTGCCGAAAAAGAAGCAGTGTTTGTGGTCATCTCCTTGGCGCCGAGCTCAACGAGAATGACCACAACCACTGCTTTGCTTCTGCTGGCTGTGGTTGTTCTCACGTCCCGTATTGGCGCGGCACGCCGCCCGCATCCCGGCCCAGCCAGGGCAGGCCCGCGCTGATCGAGCCTCCATGTCTACTGGGCTGTCAGGAAGAGTGCGGCACGAAGGCGGTCCTGGCTGCAGGCTCAGCTGCAGGCCCGAGATCATGGCGCGTTGCGCGAAAGCGACAGAGAGATCTGGGAGCCGCGCGAAGCCGTCTGCCAGGACCACCGCCAAATTGTCGGCACGTGCTTGCACCAGGCAGCTCGGCACCAGACGTCGTCGGCGCCGGAGGAGGAGGTCGGCCGCGACTGCGAAGATCAGCGGCGACAGGGGGCACCCTTGTCGGATGCCCGCCTGCAGCGAGAAGCCCGCATGGCGTGCCCCGCCGACGAAGAGCTCGCGGCTAATATCCTGGCAGAGGGCGTCAAAGAGGGCGAAGAACCAGTTCGGGATATTCAGATGCGCCAGGAAGGTTTTCATAAACAGGATATTCAGGTGCGCCAGGAAGGCGGCGCGGAAGTCGCAGAAGATCGCGGCCCCCTGCTTTTTTTTGCAAAGCGCACCTTAGAATTTCGTGGTCGACGGAGACCACGTTCGACAGCAGCGATCGCCCGATCACGAAGCCTGGCGGCATCTCTGTGTTCCACCCCGCCAGAAGAGGTTCCGCGCGCAAGCGCAACGCGTTAGCCCAGAAGCGACTCCCTACGCTTCCAATGTCCAGGGGCGTGTGTCAGCTGGGCCGTGGAAATCACCGCCCCCCCAAAGCTGTCCGCTCGGGCTGTTGGGCAGAAACACCATTACATAGGCTGGAATTGAACGACTGCCCAGGGAAAACGGTGTCCTCGCAGAAGCGGGCGAGCTGGTCCGGTTCTCCTTCGGCCGACATGTCAGAAGTAACCTTGAGAAGCGTGTCCACCGCGAGACTGTCCGTGCGCTTCCAAGCCAGAAATAAGCAGCCCGTCGGGTCCTGGGAACGAGTGGGAAGCTGATTCGATTGCCGTCTCACGCCTTCTCCACATCGCTCCTGCGCAGCGTCCACCGGGCGTCACTCCTCGGCGGCATGCCGGGGCGCGCGGCGTCGCCTGCAGCTCGTGGCAGCTCTGCGGATAGTTACTGTGCTGGTGTTTCTCGGTCGCACCGCCTGGCGTCGAACACGCCTCCTCAGTGGTCGCGGAGGGGCTTGGTCATGTGTGCTGGGTCGGTGTGCACGACGCGGTCTGGCGCGCGCACGGCGTTCAGCGCACCTGCTCGCCCAAGACGCAACTCCTGAAGTCGGGCCTGGAGCCGCCCCGTGCGGATTCGAGCACGATCGTCCGAGAGATCGTGCAGGTCCGTGTGGAGCGCCTGGAGGTCAGCAGCGGCGGCGCCCCTCGCCAACTCGACTGCGTGTTGTCGGAACGGCCTTAGTCCACCGTGCGATCGTAGAACCTGCGCAAATGGGTCTGGGACGAGGTCGGCGAGGGGCGGATATGCGGCTAAACGGCGCCGCATCAGTCCCACGCGGCGGCCTTCGGCAGCCCGGAGAAACCGCATGGTCCACCCCACCCTGTCATCTAGGCGCGCAGGGTCTGGAGCCCGTTTCCAGAGCTCCTGTCCGAAACGGCGCGCGCAGCACGCTTCAGCAACGCCAATCGCCGGATTGGCTGGTGCCCGCCAGCGCCGGTGGCCAGCGCACCGTTGAACTCCATGGAGACCCGCTCGGGCCACGACTCGGGCCGGGCGAAAGGGGGGGATAGCAAAGGGGGGGTTTGAGAATCAGCTCACGTAGCTGATTTCCCCGGCGCCTCCCGGCGCCGGGAGGCGCCCATGTATCGAGGAATGGGCCCCTCGGTGGGGCCGAAACCAGCTGCATGCAGCAGACTTCGTAACCCCCCCTTTCCCAATCCCCCCCTTTCGCCCGGCCCGATCGACGCCATGGCGCACTACCTCTGCGGCAACCGGGCGCAGGTCTCCGGAACGACGGGCGGGGCTCCTGCAGCTCTGCCCAGGGACACACGTTGATCCACCCCCGGCAGGGCGAGGGCGCCATCCTGAGCGACGGGGAGCAAGGCGTCGATCCTAAGACGATGCCAGCGCCGCAGCGGGAGCACCGTGTTTGGAAGCATCGGAGACGCCCCGGTGGAGAGCCAAGAATAGATCAGGCCGCCTGCGAGGCAGGAGCGGCGCAGAGGCAGGGGGGAGGCGGTAGAGGCGGTGGCGGGTGGAGGCAGAGGGGGCAGGGGCGGAAGCGGGCAGGAGTACGAGGTCGCCAGGAGGCGGGCGCAGGCGGGTGTCTCCTTGCTTTCTCGAGGTTCGCTCGGAAGGCCCGCCTGCGCGCGAGAGTGCGCGCCTCCCTGGAGCACCGCGGTCCAAAGCAACTGAGCACTGGAACTCCGACGTGGGCAACGAGCGAAACGCAAGGGGAGCGAACTGAAGAGGGGAGGAGGGGTGGAGGAAGCAGTGGGAGAGGAGGAAAGCGCAGAGGATGGACGGATGCGGCGGGAGGAGGGAGCACGAGGGAGGAGGGGTGCGTGAGGCGGAGGAGGACGATGCGGACGGGGGGAGGCGGAGCCGAAGGAAAGGGAGGCCCGCTGCTCTTCGACGCGCCATCGGCGCAGCCCGTGGCGCCACCAGGGGAGGCCACGCCACCCCACCCTCCCCGCGGTTGCCCTCGCCTCCTGCCGGAGCAGCTGGTCGCTGAGCTCCTGGGCGCCGCTCGGAGAGGATCAAGGCAGGGAGGGACGGGGGCAGCGGACGAGGAGAAGGGGAAGAGGGAGGGGGAGGGAGGGAAAGAGAGAGAGGGGGAGGTGGGGGGATGAAGAGAGCGAGAGAGAGAGAGAGAGGTAGGAAAGGAGAGAGAGAGAGAGAGGTGGAGAGAGCAAAGCTAGAAGATGAAGGGGGACAGCAGGGAGACGGCGAGGGGAGATAGATAAGGTGGGAGCGAAGGGACGGTGAGCCCTGCTCATGCTTGATCTGTTCTTCTTTCTCATCACCGTCGTCGTCGTCCTCCTCCTCCTCCTGCTCCTGCTGCTGCTCCTCCTCCTCCTCCGCCTCCTCCTCCTCCTCCTACCTCCCCCTCCTCCTCCTCCTCCTCCCCCTCCTCCCTTCTCATCTTGATCCCCATGATGCCGCCATGGTGGAAACTTGATGTGAGAGTCGCGGTGGTTGTTGTGCGCTGTGGTGTGCTTCGAGAAGTTCTCGTGCGTCTCCAACTCTGGGTAGACTGCGTGCTGCTGCGCGTTCCCGACGTTCGCGTCGGTGCCGCGCTGGCTCCCAAGTGGAAGCCGTGGTGGTAGTGGTGCAGCGTACCGATGTCGTTGCCGATGGTATCTGAACCTGGCAGGTGTGGAGGGTGACGCAAGATGTCGGTGCCAAGCACTGTCTTACACCCCACCAGAGCACACCTTAGGCCTCACCAGAAACGGCGGCGAGAAAACGATCGTAATGTGGACGAAGGACCACGAACTTGGTATCTGAACCTGAGGGTGGGAAGAAGGAACTTAAGAGGTATATGGAAAGTTGATGTGGCAGTTGGTTTTCTGGCACATGCGGGCGCCCTCCTGAGTGCGGGGCACCGCGCTGGTTGCCGCCCAACTCTTTCGGGCACGCAGCTCTCCTCCTCCTCCTCTCCTCCTCCTCCTCCTCCTCCTCCTCCTCCTCCTCCTGCTCCTCCTCCTCCTCCTCCTCCTCCTCCTCCTCCTCCTCCTCCTCCTCGTCTTCCTTCCAATGTGCCCCCCCTTGTTGAATGCACAGCAAATTCTCAAAATCTTGTCGGACACCCCAGTCGGCGGCTGGAGTAGGATTCGGCGCAAGGGGGATGGGATAGCTGGGAGGGGTGGGACGTCAGACTTGGCGCGAGCACACCTAGCTTCCATCTCTCCCTCGTACCCCCCTCCCTGCCTTTCTCTTTCACTCCCTTTCCCTCCCCTCCTCTCCCTTCCGCCCTCTCCCCCCCCCCCTCTCCCTCCCCCAGGGCCCCCCCTCCCCCTCCTCCCCTCCACCTCCCTCCGCCGCCTCCCCCCCCTTCCCCTCCCCCCCCCCCCTCCCCCCCCCCCCCCTTCACCCCCTTCCCTCCCTCCCCCCCCCCCTCCCCTCACCCCTCCACTCCACCGCCCGCCCGCCCCGCCCCTCCCCCCTCCCCCCCCCCACCCCAGGGCGGGCGCGCGGGCAGGCGGCAGGCGGCCGGGCGGCTCGCCTTGGACCTGTTGTCCGCCGCCAGCCGCTCCCTCCGCTCGCGGGCCCACGCCTGGGGAACGCGGGCCCCTCGCCGGGGCGCGCCGCCTCGCCACCCGGATGGGCGCACAACGGGCGCACCTTGGGCAGGCGGATCTCTCAGGCTCTCCGCCGCCTCTGGCGGTGTATACGCCGCGAGCTTCGGAGCGACAGCAGGGCCGCAGGGAAGCGCGGCGTTGGCGGTGCAGCTCCGCACACGTGGCAAACTGTCAACGAGCAGGAGCACAGCAAAGCCCCAGAGGTGGCGAAGAGCTTGAGAGATCCACCTTCCAAAAGAGCAATCCCTGCTGACGCTGCCATTCTGGTTGCGGGCACGCGGCCGCGTGCCACTTCGGAATCGGCGGCGATCGGTGCGCAGCTCGGCACCAAGGGGGTCGGTGTTGGCGCTCCCGAACTCCTAGGTTCCATCCCACTCCTCTTCACCCTCCCTTCTCGTCGTCAGCTGCTGCAGCTGCTGCAGCTGCTGTCAGCCTCCTCCAATTTCCCCCCCCCGTCCCATATTGCAGCTCCTTGTCCTCCTGAAGGTCACCCTCACTCCACCTCCTCGACAGCCTCACGAAGCTCTTCCTGGTATAGCTATTTCTCCTCCTCCTCCTCCTCTTCCTCCTCCTCCTCCTCCTCTTCATCCTCTTCGCGTTGCGCAAACATCACGCAATGCCTGCTGTGTCTGGCAATCCTCCTCTGTTTGCTCTTCCCCTTCTCGTGCAGCTCCACCTGTTCACGGCAACCGTCGCAAGCGAGCGACTAGGTGTTGAACCAGCAAAGGCAGCAGCGCGGCACAAGCCCCAGCCTGGTACGCGACGTGCGGAGGGGACCTCCTGACCCCCACCAGGGCACCCCTGCCGGTGCGGAGGCGCAAGCTGCTCTGTGTGCAGCTCCGGCGGCGGCGTCCCGGCACGAACTCGGCACCCTCGACGGGGCGCGAGGTGAGATTCTGAGGCCGCAGAAAGCCCTCACACGCGAGGAGGGCCTGCGGGCTTCAAGCAAGCGCAACGTCCTCCGAGGCCACTGGGGGCCTTTCCGCGTACGCGACGTGCGTGGGGAGGGGACCTCCTGACCCCCACCTTCCTGCACTCTCTCCCGAGGAAGGCGGGGCTGGCCGCGGAGGCGACGCCGTTGTAGGCGCGAGAGGCCGTGGCGAGCTCCGAGCTCCAGGGGTCGAGCTGCTGACAGCAGTCAGAGAGGGTCAAGGCGAGGAACGCCGAGCGGGGACTACTCCAGATTTCGTCATAAAAGGGAGGGGGTCTCAACCCTCCCAGACGAGAAGTTTTAGACCCCCCCCCCGTTGGAGAACCCTCCAAAACATCGCCCCCAGACCCCCCAGGCCCTCCAAGATAGCCTGGAAGAGACCCCCCCCCGAAATGAGACCCCCCTCCCTTTATTACGAAATCTGCACCACCCTCCCACACTGGGGCCTCACGAGGAAGAATAATAATAAGAAGAAACACACTAATGAATATAAGAAGAAGTGTAAGAAGAAGAAGAAGAAGAAGAAGAAGGAGAAGAAGAGGAGGCTGCCTGTCGGTGAATTGAGCCAGACGCGCTGGCACACGGAATAGCGGCCACACGGCATGGGTGGCTCTTCTGGAGACGGGCCAGAGACCCTGGATGGCAGCCAGCACGCGGGAGCTCGCTATTTGGGGAACGACCTCCATCCGCGCCTCAACCCTATCAAGCGTGAGGAGGCAGCTTGTATCGAGCGCGCTCGTGCTGCCTCTCTCGCACGACACACGGATCGAGAGGCCGAAGACGGCCGCCCGCTCCACTCGTGTGAAAACCCTCGCGCAGCACCAGGGCACCCCTGCCGGTGCGGAGGCGCAAGCTGCTCTGTGTGCAGCTCCGGCGGCGGCGTCCCGGCACGAACTCGGCACCCTCGACGGGGCGCGAGGTGAGATTCTGAGGCCGCAGAAAGCCCTCACACGCGAGGAGGGCCTGCGGGCTTCAAGCAAGCGCAACGTCCTCCGAGGCCACTGGGGGCCTTTCCGCGTGCCAAGAATTCGAGTATAGCAGCGTGTTCAACACAATGCGTCCCCGGGCCCAGGCCGCGAGGCCCTAAGCCGCGACCTACAGCTGCTCAGCGAAATGGATGCGAGCGAGCCCCCAAAGGGCCCTCGGGGTGCTGCCTGCACGATCTGCGCAAGAAGGCCGCAGGCGGCTCCTGCAGGCAGCTCGCGAGACGGCGGGTTCGGTCCGAGCTCTGCGCCCAGCATCGGGGCGCGGCGTGAGGATCGGAAGCGGCGGAAAACTGAAGAAGCTGTGGCCGGAAGTGACCGGGAGGTAAGCTCGGTCGAGAGCGCCGACACTCTCGGCCAGGCAGTCGGTGCAAAGCGCAGCGCGGGCCCTGAGCCGAGAGACCCTACACAGCAACTCGCAGCTGTTTAGGCAGGTGCGCTCATGCAAGGGCCCTCAAGGGCCCTCGTGCTGCTGCCTACAGCTCCTCCTTATCCTCCTCATCCTCCTCATCGTTTTCCTCCTACCCCTCCTCGTCGTCGAGCTACTGCTCCTTCTCCGCCTATAACAATTACTACTGCCACTTACCGCCACCACTTCGACGACCACGCCCACCAATGCAACAACTGCTGCCGCTGCCACTGCACCTGCTGCTGCTGCTGCTGCTGCTGCTGCTGCTGCCACTGCGGCCAGAACCACCACCACCACCACCACCACCACCACCACCACCACCACCACCACCACCACCACCACCACCACCACTGCCGCCACCAAAACAGCTGCCACCACAACCGCTGCCTGTGCCGAGAATCCCCCGAATCCGTTGGACTTCGCCAGGAACCGCCCCCGCCCCCGTGACCAAGCCATCACCTCGTCGGACACCCTCCCCCCCTGGTCCTGGACCCGTCGCCCCTGCGGTTCTTCCGCCCAGAACCCGCTCCACTCCTGCAATATCGCCCCACCCCCTCCTGCCTCCTCGTCTGATCCCCCCCCCCGCTCCCGCTGAACTTCCTGCTCTGAGGCTCCCCAGCCCCGTCGCTTTCCGTCGGTAACCGGCCCCGCGCCTCAAGACCTCTCCAGGGACCTGCCGTCACCCCGCCTCTATGACCCCCCATACACCTCTGACACTCCAAGCTCCCGCGGGCAAGCCCTGTCTCCTTCGGGGAGGGGTACCCTCGCACTGTCGCTTCCAATGTGCTTTTGGGCCTCAAGATGGCTCCAAGATGGCCCAAGAGAGCCCAACAGTCGGGACTGATTGGACAGGACACGCGAGAGGACACAAGACCCTTCCGAGGGTCACATTGCCACGGGAATGTAGGAAGCATGGGTCGCGAGACACAGGACACAAGGGTACTCTTGATTTGGAAGGGTCGACCTACTAATCTGGGCCGACTGTAAGAGGGGCCCAACGGGCCCCCCCGAAAGCCCCAAGAGCGCCCACGAGTGGCCCGAGAGCGCCCCAAGAGGGCCTCCAGCTGCGATGTTGTTGGCCCCAAGGGGGGGGAGAAATCGGAGACCCCCCCCCTCCTCTGATCGACGTCCTACAAGATGGCCCCACGAGGCCTTGCAGGGCCCCCACGAGGGCCCCAGGAAAGCCCCAAGAGGGCCCCAAGAAGGCCCCAAGACGGCCCAAAGAGCACCCAGGACCGCCCAAAGAGCGCCCCACGAGGTCCCCAAGAGGCGGTTTGCCTCCTCCTCCTCCTCCTTCTTCTCCTCCTCCTCCTCCTTCTCCTCCTTCTCTTCCTTCTTCTCCTCCTCCTCCTCCTCCTCCTCCGCCTCCTCCTCCTCCTCCTCCTGCTCCTCCTCCCCTTCTCACTCTTCCCCATTCACCCGAGCCTTCCGCGCACGTCCTCAAAAAAACCTAAGCCCAAGCCCCGCGTGCCGCCGAGGGCAGGCGAGGTCGACCGGCGGCCGGCAGGCGAAGGCGGCGGAGGGCGTCGCGGGGGGAGGGGGATGATGGGATCAGCAGGAGGAGAGGGAGGACGAGGAGGAGGAGGAGGAGGAGGAGGAGGAGGAGGAAGAGGATGAGAACCAGTGCAAATCCAAGAGCCATCAACGAGGTTGGCACACTTAGTTTGGCGTAACGAAAGTTTCCATGGAAACGCGGAAGACCCCTAGACGACCCAGACAGGATGCCTGGGCGGCCCCATGGTCCCAAGATGGTTCCACGACGGCCTCAGACGGGCACGAAGATGACCTCGGGGCGACCCCAGAAAGACCCCGTGGCCCCTGCAGGATCCAGACGCAGCGTCGAAATGGCCTGGGGGCGAATCCAAGGTGGCCCAAGATGTGAGCGATGCCCTGGAGACCAGGCGCGGTGGCCCCAGAGCGACCCCGAGGTGGCCGGAGCATTCCCAGAGTACGACACCATGATCTTAAGATGACCTGGAGATGATTTCAAGATGACCTCAAGACGACCCGAACACGTCATGCATTGGCGGGATTGGGTCCCACCGCGGGATTCGTCTGGACCCTATTTTTCATGGGTTGGATGTATGGTTGGCTGGACTAAAACTATATGATACCGGAGAAAACCCAATCATAATCTTTCTAGGGCTTTAGGCTATGGGGCTATAAGGCTATAGGGCTAGAAGGCTATGGGGCTATAGGGCTACAGGGCCAGAGGGCCATAGGGCTATTGGACTATAGGATATGAAGCTGTAGGGCTATAGGGCTATAAGCCTATAGGGTATAAGGCTATAGGGCTATAGGGCTATTAGGCCTATAGGGCTACAGGGCTATAGGACTATAGGGCTGTATGGAGCTACCGGGCACCTGGGCACCCGGGCATTTGGGCATCCAAGCACCCGGGCACACGGGCACCCGGGCACCCCCGGGCACCCCCGGGCACCCCCGGGCACCCGGCCACCAAATCGGCGCCGCACCTCACCTAACCATATGAATCCGCTAGGACCCCTACAGAGGCAAGCTCTGATTGAGGAATAATTAAAAAGGGGGAACTACTCGCCAAATATCCCGCCGAGACCACGCACGAGGGCTATCTTGCTAGGCTTCTAGGGGGGGAGAGTCAACGCATCCTGCCCCTCAGCACGGTCGGGGCCGTTGCCAAGAGGGGTGCGACGTAGGCGAGCGCACAATGCCATCGGGCCCAACTCGGAAAATTCAAAGAACTTTCGGAGCGGCGATGTCAGCCCTCCCTCCA